GAAGAGAAGAGATTGAGGAGGAGGAGGATGAGGAGGAGGAGGAGGGGGGGGAGGAGGAGGGGGGGAAGGAGGAGGAAGAGGAGGAGGAGGAGGAGGAGAGGAAGGAGGAGGAGGAGGAGGAGGAGGAGGGGAAGGAGGACAGGAATCACCATCATCATCGCCATCATCATCGGCATCATCATCACCCTCATCATCACCAGCATCACCGCCACCATCGCACACATCGTCACCATCATCATCACCATCACCATCACCATCAGCATCGCCATCATCATCGGCACCAACATCATCAGCATCACCGTCATCACCATCGTCGCTCGCCGTCGTCACCCACTTCATTCGAATCCAACTCCCCCTCCTCCTCCATGGCCGTTTTTGGCGCACACCTCATCAGCGCCACTGACGCCAGCAGCACCTTCTCGCCAGCAGCACCTTCGCCAGCAGCACCTTCTCGCCAGCAGCACCTTCGCCAGCAACACCTCCGAGATGGAGGCGCCCGCAGCAGCACCGGCAGGGGCGAGGCCCACGGAGAAGGCGCCTCAACCTTGGGTGCCGCGCTACGGGATCACCTACATGAGTTCCGAGCGCTCGCAGGTGCGCGAGAAGATGGAGTGCCACTTGTGGCTGGACGGCCCAGACCTGTGGATCCCCTTCATGTGCGAGCTCACGGCGGTGGGGAAGTGGGCGTGGCAGTACCCAGGCGTGCCCGGGGTGAGGAAGGCCCTGAAGGAGGGGATGCCAGAGTGGCTCGAGGGCGTGCCCATCGAGTGCATCCACCTCTACGAGGCGGACGAGCGCTCCTACCCGCCGAAGAAGTGGGGCGAGGAGCTCGAGGACACGTGGGTGATCAACGAGAAGGGCCGCACGATGGTGTTCGTGGATTGGCCGCAGCACGTCCTCAAAGCTCGGACGACGAAGCCCCTGAGGAGCGAGGCGGACGACCCCAAGGGCGACGGCTACTACACGGACAACGACGAGCCGAACGAGAAGATTGGCTCGCACCTGGCGCCCAGCGGCGCCGACGAGAAGACGGACTTTCAGGATGCCCACGGCCGTGGCTTCGACAGCGGCTTCGACAAGGGCCGCGACAAGGGCTACGACAGCGGCTGGAAGGCTGGATACAACAAGGGCTTCGCCCAGGGCCGCGTCTTGGCGAAGCAGCCCAGCACGCCTAGCGCCAGCAGCGCGAACAAGAGCTGGGCCCAGGAGGGGAACGACGAGGACGTCGCGGCCGCGCCGAGCGGCGGATCGCGCCCAGGGCCGCAGAGGTTCTGAGGCGCTACGCTGCCGCGGTGGCCGCACAGGGCCACCGCTGAGGGCAGCCTTCGCCCTCTCGGGCGCGCGGCCGCGGGCGCAGCCTCTCGACGCCCAGGCTGGCGAAAAAACAATATTTTTCGATAAAAAAATCCCTCGCGAGCGCGGGGTGGTCCCTCCCATCCTCCTCCTCCTCCTCCTCCTCCTCGTCGTCGTCGCCCGTCGTCGTCGTCGCCCGTCGTCGTCGTCGTCGCCCGTCGTCGTCGTCGTCGTCGTCGTCCGTCGCCGTCGCCGTCGCCGTCGCCCGTCGTCGTCGTCGTCCGTCGTCGTCGTCGGCGGCGTCGTCGTCGTCGTCGTCCGTCGCCGTCGCCGTCGCCGTCGCCGTCGCCGTCGTCGTCCGTCGTCGTCGCCGTCGCCGTTGCCGTCGCCGTCGCCGTCGCCGTCGAGGGCGACGGAGCCCGTCGCCGTCGCCGTCGAGGGCGACGGAGCTCATCTTAATATCATCTTAATCTCATCTTAAATTTAAGATGAGATTAAGATGATATTAAGATTAGCCTTTTGTGATTGAATCAATCAGTAACGACCTCATCTTAATCTCATCTTAATCATCTTAAATTTGAGATGAGATTAAGATGAGATGAAGATGAGGAGGAGGAGGAGGAGGAGGGAGGGAGGGGTGGAGGAGGAGGACGGCCGCTCCGCGCTCGCGGAGGAGGTTTCTACTTTCCAGTGCTCGGCGTGCTATCAATCGCGCCCCGCGCGATATCGACCCATCCCGACCCCCTCGCCTCTGGAAGAGGCGAGGGGGGAAGGCGAACGACCCCGCGCTCCCCCCCTTTAGCCACCCGTGGCCCCTCAGAGCTTCCACAGCGACCTGAGCGCCGCCAGCTTCTTGCGGCCGTTCTTGATCGCGTCGTCCATCTCCTTGGCGAGGTCCGCCGCCGTCTGGATCTCCTTGCCAGTGATGCCCGCTCCGTTCGAGCTCACGCACTTCTTCTCGAACGTCAGGAGCTCCTTGTCCTTCGCCGCAAGGGTGCCCCTCATCGCGTCCAGGTCATTCTCGATCTTGCACCCCTTGCTGTTCTCGTTCTTCGAGCTGGACTCGATGGCCGCCTCGAGCTCGCGAACGAACCTGTCGATGCATCCGTGCGCCGCGCGCACGGCCTTCACGGCGACGGCCACGGCCTCGGGCATCTTCGCCTTCTCGACCGATGGCTCCGTCTGCAGCGACTGCTGCTGCTGGGGCGGCTGCTGCTGCTGTTGGCCCCCCTGCTGCTGGTTGTGACCGCGGCTCTGCTCGGCGTACTTCTCGTCGTAGGCGTCGTCGTCCAGATTGGTGCTGTCCGTGAGCTGCAAGCCCTTGTCGTGACGATCGCGCTCGCTCTCCGAGCGCAGCCGCACCTGCAAGTACTTGGGCCACGGCACCAGCAGGGACTCAGGGATGGCAGGGTCGCGCTTGGTCTCCAAGGTTCTGGCCCTGATCATGGCCATCAGCACGTCCTCGTCGTACTTCTCCAGCGCCCTCTTGAAGGTAGTCCACTCCTTGAGCGTCTCGTTGCGGGTCAGCGTGTTGTTGAACTCCGCGGACTGCCTCGTCGTCGTGCGCATGATCTCGTCCACGAAATTTCCCGCGTCCATCGCGCAGCCGAACTTCTGGATCTCCTTCCACTTGGCCTTCCTCTCTTGGCCCTGCTTGCGCAGGCGGTGCATGAAGGCGTTGTAGGCCGTCTTATCGGATTCGATCCAGTCGTGGACCCACTCGGAGGCGTCGGCCTGGGCTCCTGGGCGGATCCTGGGCTCCTTTAGCGCGGGCGCCTCCTCGTCGCGAACCCTGTCGCCCTCCCTCTTGGCTACCTTGACCGCGGGACCGTCGGTGTCTCCGGTGGCCGGAACCACCGCTGCCGCGGCAGGCGCGCTGGAGCCGCCGCTGCTGTCGACGGGCTCCGCTTTCACGGGCGCTGCCGTGGTGCCTGCGCGCACTGCTGCTTGCATCTTCTCGAGGCAGTGGCCCATCGGCCCCCTGTGGATCGCGGGGGAGGCGGACTTGGTAGCCGTAGCCCTCTTCGGGGGCATCTGTCTCCTGGACGGAGATCTGAAAACCGCGCCTTGCTTGAGCAAGGGCAGCTCCAAGGATGATGATGATGATGATGAGGAGGAGGATCGGGGTGATGGCGAGGATGAGGATGAATACGATGATGATGATTGCGATGAGGATCGGTGCGATGATGAGGATGAGGATGAAGATGAGGATGAGGATGATATAACGACGACGTGGGGATAGCATTAAGAGGATAAGAGGATGAGATGACGATGGGAACCCCACGCTCGTGGAGGATTGTGGTTTTCAACTTTCTAGTTGGCTGGACCCTCCACATCGCCCCAACGCGTAGCAGGTCCAACTCCAGCCGCGCCTCCTGAGGCCCCTCATGACGTGTCGAACCCGATCTGCTGGTCGAACCACATCCTGAGGTCGTCCTTCATCTTCAGGATGGTGCCGTGGATCTTCTCCGCGGCGCGCTCGACGACCTCTTTGTACTCCTCGGTCCTCCTGCTGGTGATGCCCATGATGTACTTCTTGTTGCCGTCGAGCAAATAGGCCTCGCCACGCCTCTTCCCGTTCGGCTCCCTCACGGTGACCGTTGCGGGCAGGGTGATGTTGCCGCTCTCGACCTCGGCCTCATCCTCCTGCTTCGGGGGCGCCTTGGCCTTCTTCGGGGGCTTCAGGATCGCCGCAACCGTCTCGCGCGTCCTCTTTGCGGACTGCGCAGGGAGTCGACGGCCCCCTCTTTGGCTTGTCCTTGCCCTTGCCCGCCTGGCTCTTCGTCTTGTGATTGCCCTTCCCCTTCCCCTTGCTCTTCCCCTTCGCCTGGCTCTTCGTCTTGCTCTCGCTCTTGCCCTTCCCGTCGCCCTTGCCCTTTCCCTTGCTCTTGTCGCCCTTCAGCGCCGTCTGGGCGGTCCTGGCATCGCGCTTCTGGCCCCCGATGGCCGCGTTCGGGATCGGGACCCGCTCGCCGCCGCCCTCTTCGGCCGCGAGGTCGACGGTGCGTGCGTCGCGGCACGCTTTGCAATTGCAAATCATTCCGCAGAGCTCCACGTCGTCGTCGGAGAACTCGACCTCGGTCACAGCTGCTTCGTGACTGCCATCGCCCTCCGCCGCCTCGCCCATGCTGAGGGGGGAAGAGCGCCCTGACCGCCGACGCGCTCACGTCGGCGGCCTCGCCCTCCACGGGGCCCGCCGCCGCCGCGAACGACGGCGAGTCCTCGAAGGAGCCGCCGCTGGCAAGAGCTGCACCGCCATCATCTTCTGCAGAGGGAAGCCTGATCATCTTCACCAGCTGCTGAAGCACCTCGTTGCTCAGAGCCTTCTCCGCCTGGGCTGCGTTGTAGAGGTGCTTCGCCATGACCCGCCAGGCGTCTGCTGCCAGGCTGGCCGCCCTCTCCTGGAAGCGCACATCGCACGCGAGGACGCCGCGCCTCTTGTCCAGCTCCTGGAAGGTATCCTTCAAGCACTTCTGCGCTGGAAACCCCGAGGGTGCAACCTCGAGGAGGGTCTTCAAAACCTCGGCGTAAGGCAACGTGGACGTCTCGTCGATGGCCTGCGTCCGCGAGCTCCCGTACCCCGAGCCGCCCCGCGCGAAGCCAGGGTCCTGGAGGACCGCCTTCGCGTCCCACTTGTCGGCGAGGGTCGCGTGGACGAACTGCGACTCCCTAGGTCGCGGGCGCCTCGGGCGCAGCGCTGACGCCATCGTCGGGCCGCCGCTCTCACCAGTTGCCAATATGGCAAAAATGCCTGAGGGTCACGCGGCTGCGGAGAGACAGAGGAGGCGGAGCATGAGGAGGAAGCGAGAGGACGATGACGATGGATCGTAGTGGTAACGATGGTGATGATGATGGTGATGATGGTGATTACGATGATGCTGATGACGATGATGACGATGATGATGATGATGACGATGATGACGATGATGGTGGTGATGATGGTGGTGATGGTGTTTGTGACATTGATGGCACCTCCACGCTCGTGGAGTTTTTTCTTTGTTTGTTTTTCAAGTTTTTTCTCCGGCCTGCCTCAAGCGTCGGGCTCGGGCTCGGCGACCTGGTACGGGTCTGATGCGGCGACCTCGCACTGGTCTGGCGTCGCCGCACTGCCCCCGTCGGACTCGCTCCACGGCGCAGCGGGATTCACGCCCGTCAGCGCCACGAACCTCAGCAGGAGATCGGCCGTCTGATCACTTATGTCCGCAGACTCGTCGGCCCGCATCGGCGCATCAGCCCACGGCGGCCAATCGGACGGCGCCGTCGTCGAAGGCGTAAATGGCGCGGGCCCTGTCCACGAGGCCGCCTTGGACAACGCTGGTGCCGACGGCGCCGCTGCCGACGGCGCTGCTGCCAACGGTGCTGCTGGCGAAGGTGCTGCCGGCGAAGGTGCTGCTGGCGAAGGTGCTGCTGGCGAAGGTGCTGCTGGCGAAGGCGCTGGCGCCGCGACGGCCACTAGCCCCACTGGCAGCATTGGCCTACATGGCCTGTTGGCGACTAGCCCCACTGGCAGCGCTGGCCTACATGACCTGTTGGCGACGGTCATGCTGCCGAGGGTTGCTGACGCTGGCGCTGGCGACGGCGTCGCTGGCGCCGAAGGTGCCGCCGACGAAGATGCCGCCGACGATGATGCCGAGCTGCCCAGGGGTACTTGTCCGATTGCAACGCCTCCTACTCGCACTAGAGCGGCCCCAATCCGTTGGTACTCGAAGCTCAGCGTCCTCTCCTTGTTCTGCAAGTGAATCGCCTGCATCTGCAAGTGCCCAGCCGTGCCAAGCCGTGCCCCCTGCTGGAGATCTGCGTACTGCTGGCCGTACTTGCGCTTCATCCCCCTGTAGATCGCGCGCTCGGTGCTCCTCACCCCGATCTTGCCGAACATCTTCTCCCTGTCCGCCTCCTTTGGGGGTGGCACGTGCACGAACGGGTTGAGGCCCCAGCTCAGGCCCGCCCCCACGGTCGGCTGCGCGATCGGCTGCACCAAGGGCTTCTCGTCGTGCTGCTGCTTCTTCTCGTCGTGAAGCTTCTCTTCCTCCTCCACCTTCGCTGGCGGCGGCTCCGTAGGTGACGATGGTTTTTCCCTTTGGGGAGGCCCGCCAACCAAGTACTCTGGTTCTCCGTCTGTGCCTTCACTGACGCCGAGTACCACGTCGTGCTGCTTCACGTCGTGCTGGACGAGGGCCCGCGGCTTCTCGTCGCGCTGCTGCTTCTCGTCGTGCTGCTTCACGTCGTGCTGCTGCTTCTCGTCGTGCTGCGGTTTAGCGTCGTGCTGCGCGTTCTGGTCGTGCGTCGCCATCTCCCGCCGCTCCCGCGCTTCTACCGCCTGCGGCGGAGGGGGCATCTTCGGCGCCTTCGGCGCCTTCGGCTGCGCTTTCGACGTCGGCTGCAACTCCTTCTTCGTCCCCCTGGGCTGCATCACGACGGCCCTGGTCGTCTGCAGCGGCGGCGGCATCGGCGCCGCGACGGCCACTAGCCCCGCTGGCCTCACTGGCCCACGTGGCCTGATGCTGCCGAGGGTTGCTGACGGCGCTGCTGGCGACGGCGCTGCTGGCGCCGAAGGTGCTGGCGAAGGTGCTGCTGCCGACGGCGCTGGCGAAGGTGCTGGCGAAGGTGCTGCCGAAGGTGCTGGCGAAGGTGCTGGCGCCGAAGGTGCTGCCGAAGGTGCTGGCGAAGGTGCTGGCGTCGACGGTGGCCTCCGCGCCTTCGCCTTGGACGTCGGCGCCCACGCGGGCATGGGGCTGCCCTCGTTTGCCTCGTCTGCACTCCTCTGCCTCGTGCCCCTGCTGAAGAGCAAGGCCGTGTCTTGCAAGGGCACGCTTCCCTCCTTCACGCAGTCCACGAGGTTGCCCTTCGAGTCCCATATCAGCTTCGCCATGGCTCGGGCCCGCGGGCCCCGCGGGCCCCCCGATGGGGGGCCTGCGCAGCTACATTGAGCCCAAATGGTTACGGAGGAGGACGCGGAGGAGGCGGAGGAGGGGAGGAGGCGGAGCAGGGAACCTCACTTAAGTAAGACAAATGAGAAGATAATTATGGTGTTCCGAAGATAATTAGAGGATGATTATGTCATAATTATGTTGAAATTAGATGATACTTAGAGGATAATTATCCTCTACATCATGTTGATTAGATGATAAGTATCCTCTAAAACATGTTGATTAGAGGATAAGTATCCTCTAAATCATGTTGATTAGAGGATAATGGAGAATTATATTCCTAGTCTAACTGAGCTACTGGGAAATCCATCTGGAACCCTCTCCCGACGCAAATCGGCTCTGTCGGGGATGGGGGGGGGGTGTACCCGAGCTCCCCAAATGGCAATTTTCCCAATGAAATCTCTGATTGGGGAGCTTGTTTTTCGCTGCTGGGCTCTGCCGCGCAGCGTCGGGAGGTCCCAGATGGATTTTCACCCCGGAACCGTTCCAAGGTGAAAATCCATCTGGAACCTTCTCCCGACGCAAAACGGCTCTGTCGGGGATGAGGGGGAAGTGCACCCGAGCCCCCAAAATGGCAATTTTCCAAATGAAATCTCTTATTGTGGAGCTTGTTTTTCGCGGCCGGGCTCTGCCGCGCAGCGTCGGGAGGTCACAGATGGATTTTCACCCCAGAACCGTTCCAGAGTGAAAATCCATCTGGAACCCTCTCCCAACGCAAAACGGCTCTGTCGGGGATGGGGGGGGTGTACCCGAGGTCCCCTCCCCAAATGGCAATTTTCCAAATGAAATCTCTGATTGGGGAGCTTGTTTTTTGCGGCTGGGCTCTGCCGCGCAGCGTCGGGAGGTCCCAGATGGATTTTCACCCCGGAACTGTTCCAGGGTGAAAATCCATGTGGAACCCTCTCCCGACGCAAATCAGCTCTGTCGGGGATGGGGGAGAGTGTACCCGAGCTCCCAAAATGGCAATTTTCCGAATGAAATCTCTTATTGGGGAGCTTGTTTTTTGCGGCTGGGCCCTCCCGCGCAGCGTCGGGAGGTCCCAGATGGATTTTCACCCCGGAACTGTTCCAGGGTGAAAATCCATCTGGAACCCTCTCCCGACGCAAATCGGCTCTGTCGGGGATGGGGGAGAGTGTACCCGAGCTCCCAAAATGGCAATTTTCCAAATGAAATCTCTTATTGGGGAGCTTGTTTTTTGTGGCTGGGCTCTGCCGCGCAGCGTCGGGAGGTCCCAGATGGATTTTCACCCTGGAACCGTTCCAGGGTGAAAATCGATCTGGAACCCTCTCCCAACGCAAAACGGCTCTGTCGGGGATGGGGGGGGGTGTACGAGCTCCCAAAGTGGCCATTTTCCAAATGAAGTCTCTTATTGGGGAGCTTGTTTTTCGCGGCTGGGCCCTCCCGCGCAGCGTCGGGAGGTCCCAGATGGATTTTCACCCCGGAACCGCTCCAGGGTGAAAATCCATCTGGAACCCTCTCCCGACGCAAAACGGCTCTCTTGGGGGCTTCTGTAAGGAGCCCAGTAAGGGCTTCTGCAAGGAGCCCAGTGAGGGCTTCTCTAAGGAGCCCAGTGAGGAGCCCAGTGAGGGCTTCTGTAAGGAGCCCACTCAGGGCTTCTGTAAGGAGCACAATAAGAGCTTCTGTAAGGAGCCCAATAAGGGCTTCTGTAAGGAGCCCAGGAAGGAGCTGAGAGAAGCCTTCTGGGAGGAGCTGAAAATGGGTCCAGATGGGTTTTCACCCCGGAACGGTTCCAGGTGATTCCGGAACCTGAAACGGTGGATTTTGATGCGGGCGGTGGCACTATGGCCTTCGGTGGCGCTCCCTATGGGGCCACGAAGCGTGTGAAGGGTGTGCCGAAATGGGTGTGGGTGACGCATGCGGGCGGTGGCGCTGGGGCCTTCGGTGGAGCTCCCTATGGGGCCTCGAAACGTGTAAAGGGTGTGCCGAAACAGTTGTGGGTGACGCATGCGGGCGGTGGCACTGGGGCCTTCAGTGAAGCTCCCTATGGGGCCACGAAACGTGTGAGGGGCGTGCCGGAGTGGGCGTGGGTGACGCATGCGGGCGGTGGCACCGGGGCCTGCGGTGGAGTTCCCCATGGGGCCACGAAACGTGTGAGAGGTGTGACGACATGCTTGTGGGTGACGCATGCGGGCGGTGGCACTGGGACCTTCGGTGGAGCTCCCCATGGAGCCACGAAACGTGTGAGGAGTGTGCCGAAATGGGTGTGGGTGACGCATGCGGGGGGTAGTATCGGAGCCTTCGGTGGAGCTCCCTGTGGGGCCACGAACCGCGTGAGGGGTGTGCCGAGCGCCGTCTCTGCAAAACGAGGACCCAACACCACAGGATGGTTAGGGAAAAAACAAAAACAATCTAACAATCGTCCCCAGACTATTTCTCGAATATTCCTCCTGTAGAGGGACATGCCCGACTGAACATTGCGTCGCGCACGCAGCAGCGGCTGTTGGCACATGGAGCCCGCGCTGCAGCAGGAGGAGGATGAGGCGGAGGAAGAGGCGGAGGAGGAAGCAAGCAAGTCCAGCCGGGCGACCCAGAGAGCCGCTCGCCCCATTAATGGGGACGGAATTGAGGACAGTGTGAAACAGCGACAAGTGCACAACACATAAACAACGCCCCTCGCATCAGACAGAATGCTCGGCATCAGCTCGGTGGCGCCCTCGACGGGGCAGCCTGGCTGTGCCCTGGCGTGGACCAGGAAGGCAGGGGCGAAAGTGGGCGGTCGCAGGGAGGCCGGAGCGAGAATGCGAGCGAAGGAGGCACCT